AGTATATGAATGATAAGGACTGGCTTTAAGATTCTTTTTAAATTTATTTATTTTAATTTAGTTTAGAGGATGGAACAGCTGAGAGGGACCAGTATGTCCTTTATTGTTCCCAAACGTTATGTTATGTTAAACTGATTGATTCCCAATCCAAGGATTGTGTTTGCTTCTGGCTTCACGAAATTCTGTTAATAAAGATTGAATTTTGGTCAAAATTGTTGTCATTTCACTGCAAAAACAGTTTACTTGGCAACTTTTGTGAGATTTTATTCAATGTGCAGAACAAATGCCTGCAATAAAATGTATTGAAAGAGGTGACATTTCAAGAAAGAGAATGAAATTGGAATACCGTAATACACATGTAAAAAAAGAATAAATCCTGAGTACATGAGACACTGAATGTAACTCATGGAATTCAGTTCAGTGTGGTCAAACGTATTCATATTTCAGTATTCTGATGAATTTTAGTAAGTTTCATTTTATTTTCTAGAGTCAAAAATATAATTATTAAATCACAATAAAACACAGTCATTGGAAAGTGATCAGATTGCCAAATATTGCTGTGTTTCATGATAAGTCAGATGACAACTTTAGGCTCACAGATGAAACATTTTGTTTGTAGAAATATTCATAATTCAGTGATGTTCTTGAGCTGTAGATGTATACATATTTAAGGTTATAAATTTGCATTAACTTATTGTTTCAGGTGTTAGGAATACGAGTTACAGATATCCAGGAGGGCCCTCAGCATGGTTCCTATATTTATGGTCTGTTTTTAGAAGGTGCAAGGTGGGACTACAAAAACCACTGCCTGACAGAATCTAGATCTAAAGAACTTTATACTGGTTAGTAACTTGAGTGGAAATTCAGACATTTGAAATTTTTAGTAAAGTTATTTTGAAAAGATAATTTGAAATGATAAAATAATACCGCTTTAAAAAAAAATACTGGCTTTTCAACGTACTGACATAAAAAATTGATAATTAAAATGATAACAAAGTATAACACTGTTCACAATCAGTCTTTAAAATAGTTCTTGTTAGTTATTTTGGCATGAATTGAGTTAATAAGACGCATCTTGCACCTTAGCGGTCCCTTTATTCCCAGATGGACCATTTGCTTCATCTTATTGTGTCTTTCAAATGACTATTATATCATTTAAAAAGAAATTATATTTTAATTCTTGTTTGTGTTACTTTCCAGTATATTCATTTTCTAGTATACCAATTTAATTAACAAAAATTAAAGATTTACAGTAAAAGATTTTTCTGTATATATAAAGTTGTATTTGTTGGCTCAAACATCTTGATTTGTATCAGGTATTATATGAAAATATAAATATATTATGTCAAAACCATTACTGTAGAGATGCCAGTGATTCATCTGGTTCCAGAATTTAACAGAGTGAAACCTAGTGAAGGAATATATATTTCTCCTGTCTACAAAACCTTAACTAGAGCAGGTAGTGTGTTGGTTTTTCACTTTGCACTTTATGTTATATTAATTAGTGGAACAGAATGTGGTTAACCAGACTTTCAAGCTGTATGAAGGAATGTGGTTGAGTTTGATTGTCTTACATTTTGAGTAGGATGAAAGAATGTGAATTAGTTGAAAAGTATTAAGAGAGTGTTAAGTGAAGTTCTAAGAAGAAATGGTTAAGTTGAGTAATATTAAGTGACTGTCTAAAGCTGTATATTGAAAGTAGTGCTGTTGAGTATTTAGAACAAACATAGTTAAATCATACTGTCAGAAAAAGTGTGCATCATACTGAATAGTAAATTTCAATAAAGGGTTAAGTACATGATATTAAAAATAATTTGAATATGCAACTCAGCAAGTCACTGATAGCTAAAGCTGGAACAAGGTGTTTCAGAACTACATTTTGACATTACTTAGCATTTTGTACATAGTGTAATGCCACCTAAAATTGATAGGTTTGGGAAGGGTATATAACAGCTCTCTCTCTGACACAAAATATTTATACATCAAGACAATACAAGTATGTTTAAATTAGGGATTTAGAATTTCCAAGAAAAGGAGATCCTTTTTACTTAATAGCATTGGAAAACAAAGAAATATGAATCAAGATGAGGCACTAAGACCATCCAGAAAGAGATATGCAAATAAGTGGTAAGCAAAGTGCAGCAACTTGTAACTGGTGAGAACCCATGAACACAAAGTAGTAGCAAAATCCATGAATGTGTGCAGGCAACAACTCTTAACATGATCAAGAAAGATCTCCATCTGGGAAATAGGTGAACAAGGTATGGGTTCACCATATAAAACATCCAGTCAACCATGCATACCTCAAACAGCTAAGGAATGAAATCAGGATTCATGCTATTTCCGTACAAAAATATACCAGTCTTCGTGTATTTGGACTGTTGATACAGGTGCTGTGAAACCATTGTCCTCGTATGCTAGATTTATTATAGAAAGCATGGAGGGAGAAACTAAGCTGGAGGGCTATTGTCAAAATGCAATTTTGGCAAATAGAACATGATCAGACATGGTGATGTGGACTTTAATGACATGGTGAGGTTCGAAAATAATTTTAATATAACATGCTAAAAGTTGAGTCCACCATAGTAGGATGTAGTGTGATTAAGTCAAGTGACAAGAAATGATGTGGTTGATTTAAGTAGTTAGAAAATAATAATAATTAGAATTTAAGTAAAGTAAATTTTAAGCTCCACACATCATTTGGTAAATTCTTTTTTTTTGTTACTAATCATAATTTCCTCTCATATTAAATAATGGAATTCAAAAACAAGTTGATTATCACATGAAACCTCTCGAGTTTATTGTTAACATAAGTTACTTTAAGTCTCTATAGTTTGCTTCTCATTTTTGGTGTTCTTAAAAGCTGTCTATATACTTTTGTAAAGTTATTTAATTATTCATGATACCTTATGCATTAACAAAACCTAAAATAGTTGTTTTTTATTCTTAGGAACCTTGTCAACCACTGGTCATTCTACTAATTATGTGCTGTGCATTGAGATTCCAAGTGATAAGCCACAAACTCACTGGATCAAGCGTGGTGTTGCCCTCATCTGTGCTTTACATTACTGAGCATTTATTCAAAGTGATTCTTTCTAGTTTCAACACTGCTAGATTCTGTTAATGAAAATTGAAACTGATGTTGAAGATATAAATGTTTTGATGCCACAGAAAAGTAACAGCAAACAATTTAATGTTTGTAATATCTGCCATTGACAATAATAAGTATTCTTATCTCAAATTTAAAATGGTGTTTTTTATTAAATAGTGCTTTGATATTTACCCTACACTAAATTTATAATTGATAACTTTGTATGCCAAATTTATCCCCATGACTTTAATAAGTGCTCTATCTAATGTAAAAATTGTTGTTTTCATTTTCACAGTTCAGTTTCTGTTATCCAACTACTGCCTGTTCACACTAACAAATATATTTCCAATAGTTGTCTGATAATAGCTGTCCTTTACTACTTAGTGTTCATAAATTACCTGTCTGTTAAACTATATAATTTGTGAGTTAGATGTTATTAACTACCCAGTTTATGTCAGATTAATTGTTCTGATACTCAGTACTTTTGACATTAGTTAATTGCCTGCTATATGTGTATTTTATGGTACTAACTATTTCTGTAAAGTTCTTTCTGTCATCAGCTAGTATCTATAAGATATTTGTGTTTAAGAACCTAGTGTCTATGAAATTTTTGTCTTTAGTTACTTAGTGTTGTAAACTAGCATTCTGGTATTAAATTATTTTTATTTGAGTTTACTGACACTAACTTATCCATAAAATAACTTATTTCACATTTAGTAGCTAGCTTATCTTTATGTACTAACAAATATGCCATTAAACAGTTAAGACAGTAACGGTATATTATCTGTCAAAAGTTTAATTGAACATTAAATAATTCTATCGAATAGTTGTCTTTGAATAATTACTATTTTAAAAGTAGATTTCCATGACTAAATTTTATGTAGTATTTGGCTTTGATTAAATAACTTATATCAAAAATCTGTGTTTGTCCATAGTTATTGTGTATAATTTCTATGGTTTCAACTGAAGTCTTCCAAACATCTATCTTGCGCTTAAGTAGTGCACATGTATCCAAAGGATGTCTGATTGTAATTACTGTCTCACAAGAAAACTACTGACTAGTCTTTGTCTCAGTCCTTGTCTGTAAATAATAAGTACTATTTAACTTAATAAATATTATCCATCTCTCAGAAAAGTATTTATCAATTAATTTACTTATTATGTTAATTTTGTGATTTAAAACATTTTGAAATAAGTGCTAACCAAAGCCTATGAGATATTATTTAAGCAATATTTAGGTTTTTATTTTTTCGAAATTTTTGTTTATAGTGTACTTTATTTTTTCAAAGATTTGCATTTATATAATCAAACTAAAACTATAGAAACTAAGTTGTGTATGTAAATAAGCTCGTTTGTATTACATTTAAAGTATGTATTTGGTTACCATTGATAGAAAGATAAAACATTTTATTCTTTCAACATTGTTTTTTTTTTTTGTTTGGTTTGTTTTTGCATTTCATGCAAAGCTATACGAGGGCTGTCTGCGCTAGCCGTCCCTAATTTAGCAGTGTAAGACTAGAGGGAAGGCAGTTAGTCATCACCACCCACC